TTGAAGAAACTCTCAAGAGGCTTGTAGGGGATCTAAAAAAGTCCCCCCAAGAGGTTTTCGATGCTCTCAAGAATCAGACTGTAGATCTGGTCCTCACTGCTCATCCTACACAATCAATTCGTAGATCCTTACTTCAGAAGCACGGAAGGTTTGGTTTTGATCTACTTCAGTCTGCATCCTTGATTCGTAGAACGTTAGAAATAAAAGATCCCCATGTAGGTTTATGGCTTAGAATCTTATGGCTCTTTCTCTCATTCATGCACACTCACATTTCTTCAGGATTCGGAATTGTTTAACCCAGTTGTACGCAAAAGACATTACTCCTGATGATAAGCAGGAGATTGATGAGGCACTTCAGAGAGAGGTAATCATTTTACTTATTCGTTTATGTACTGTCAATTCTTTGATTTAATTGACGTGAGCGTTGAAAAAGGGCGTTAAAAAGGACTTTTGTCCACATATGTATTGCTGAGAATATGTTTTGACTCCTGTTAAGGCATTTTCGTCAAATTTGAAATTCCCAGAGATTCAACGGTGGCAAGATTTTCCAAATGTTATCTTTACACGAGGCAATCCGGAAGGATATTCTAGGTCCTGTAGAATTTGAGTTTGAGCTTGAAATGATATCAGTTGTCAATTACTCTCATACATGTTGGTATTTCAACTTATGTAGATCCAAGCTGCATTTCGTACGGATGAGATCCGAAGAACAGCTCCCACTCCACAAGATGAGATGAGAGCGGGGATGAGCTATTTCCATGAAACAATTTGGAAGGGTGTTCCAAAATTTCTCCGTCGTGTGGATACAGCTTTGAAGAATATAGGGATTAATGAGCGTGTTCCCCATAACGCCCCACTTATTCAGTTTTCTTCCTGGATGGGTGGTGATCGTGATGGTACGTCTCTTCTTCATTAACATAAATTAAGCTATCTTGAATGTAAGATACATGTGCCAACTTGTGTGCTTGTGCGCATCATTCACTAATTTGAATTAACGTCTTCCTTCATGGGAGCAGGTAATCCAAGAGTAACTCCCGAGGTCACAAGGGACGTTTGCCTACTAGCTAGAATGATGGCTGCAAACTTGTACTATTCTCAGATAGAGGATCTTATGTTTGAGGTAGCTGAAAAAGCACCTTGAAATTGTGTTTAAGGAGTTTCGTTTACTCATTGAAGTGGTTGTTTCTTTTTGGTTTGAGTGAGGCGTTTGTTGCCTTCCATGTTAGTGCCTGTATTTGCTAATTTCTTTTCTTTTCTGGCAGTTGTCTATGTGGCGCTGCAACGATGAACTCCGTGTTTGTGCAGATGTACTTCACAGGTCCACGAGGAGAGATGCAAAGCACTACATAGGTAATCATAGTTCTATTGTGGTTCGCCCCTTGATATGGTTTTAAAATTACATCCTGTACTGCATTTTTTTAATGAGATGCAGAGGGAAACTGTATACGTGATGGATTTAAAGAAACTAGAATGATTAATACGTCACACGTCACGCTATAATATATATTTTTAATTAAGATAACATTTTCAATGGTAAATAGGTGCACAATGTACGGACCAAGTCTAATTTTACACTTCGTAAAGCCCGAGTAAAACTTTGGCTTATACTAATGTTTTGTGGCTCCATAACCATAACTTACTGCAGTAACGTAATGGCAACGAACCTTATATCTAGTTTTACTTACTTCCTTTGGAGCTGTGAACATTGTGATGCCTGTGATACTTATTGCCCTTCGTATCACAATTCAGAATTTTGGAAGCAAGTTCCTCCAAATGAACCCTACCGTGTGATTCTCGGTGATGTAAGGGATAAGCTTTATCATACACGTGAACGTTCTCGTCAGTTGTTAGCCAGTGGGCACTCTGACATTCCAGAGGAGGCAACACTGATCAGTGTTGAGCAGGTATACTACTATTCTTTATAAGTTGTATGATTGCAGATTCGTGGTCCATCATGTACAGTATCAAATTATATCTTGCCCCTTTATTCTTTTTCTGGTTAGTTGACTGTAGTCCTAATTGTAATTTAAATTATGTGTAGTTCTTGGAACCTCTCGAACTCTGTTACAGATCACTCTGCTCTTGTGGTGACCGGGCAATTGCTGATGGATCACTTCTTGATTTCTTAAGGCAAGTGTCCACCTTTGGACTTTCACTTGTGAAGCTCGATATTAGGCAAGAATCTGACAGGCATACTGATGTGATTGACGCCATCACCAAGCATCTGGAAATTGGTTCCTATCGTGAGTGGTCTGAAGAACGCCGTCAGGAGTGGCTCTTATCTGAACTATGTGGCAAGCGCCCACTGTTTGGCCCTGATCTTCCAAAAACGGAAGAAATTTCTGATGTTTTGGACACATTACATGTGATATCAGAACTTCCATGTGATAATTTTGGAGCATACATCATCTCGATGGCTACTGCTCCATCTGATGTGCTTGCAGTTGAGCTCCTGCAACGCGAATGCCATGTGAAGAAACCACTAAGAGTCGTTCCACTGTTTGAGAAGCTTGCAGATCTGGAGGCTGCTCCTGCTGCTTTGGCACGGCTTTTCTCAATTGATTGGTATAGAGAGCGGATCAACGGAAAGCAAGAAGTCATGATTGGGTACTCAGATTCTGGTAAAGATGCAGGGCGTTTCTCTGCAGCCTGGCAGTTATACAAGGCACAGGAGGAGCTTATAAACGTGGCTAAGAAATTTGGTGTGAAGCTAACCATGTTCCACGGTCGTGGTGGCACTGTAGGAAGGGGAGGTGGGCCCACCCATCTTGCTATATTGTCTCAACCGCCAGATACAATTCATGGTTCACTCCGTGTCACTGTCCAAGGTGAGGTTATTGAGCAGTCGTTTGGAGAGGAGCTCTTGTGTTTTAGAACATTGCAGCGTTTCACAGCTGCTACACTAGAGCACGGAATGCATACGCCAGTTTCACCAAAACCAGAATGGCGTGCACTGATGGACGAAATGGCAGTTGTAGCTACAGAGGACTACCGCTCCATTGTTTTCCAAGAGCCCCGATTTGTCGAGTACTTCCGTCTTGTAAGCATTTGATACTTTACACTAATCACATTAACCTTTAAATGCTCTGATTAATTACAATGTAATGACCATTGCGTACGTGTGATCCAGGCTACACCAGAGCTGGAGTATGGTCGGATGAACATTGGCAGTCGCCCCTCAAAGCGAAAACCTAGTGGTGGTATTGAATCACTTCGTGCAATCCCATGGATTTTCGCCTGGACACAAACAAGGTTCCATCTTCCTGTGTGGTTAGGCTTTGGAGCAGCCTTCAGGCATGTCATTAAGAAGGACATTAAGAATCTTCACATGCTGCAAGAGATGTACAACCAATGGCCTTTCTTCAGGGTCACCATTGATTTGGTTGAAATGGTGTTTGCCAAGGGAAACCCCGGAATAGCTGCGTTATATGATAAACTCCTTGTTTCTGAAGACCTATGGTCATTTGGAGAGCGATTAAGGTCCAACTATGAAGAAACCAAGAACTTTCTCTTGCAGGTAAAATATTCGACTTTGAGATAGCACTTGTTACATTTTGAGTACATCCTAAAATATACGAAGAAATTCATCAGTCTGATGTTCGCCTTTTCCCTTGGCAGATTGCTGGACACAAGGATCTTCTCGAAGGGGACCCGCACCTGAAGCAAAGGCTCCGCCTGCGTGATTCATACATCACAACCCTCAACGTCTGCCAAGCATATACACTGAAAAGGATCCGTGACCCAAACTTCCACGTGACACTACGGCCACACATCTCAAAGGAAATCAGCGAATCAAACAAACCGGCTAATGAACTTGTGAAGCTGAACCCGACAAGTGAGTACGCGCCTGGTCTGGAGGACACCCTCATCTTGACAATGAAGGGTATTGCTGCCGGCTTACAGAACACCGGTTAAATGCCTGTATCTGCTCTTTTCTTTATGTTTTTCTGCATTTGAGAGACGGGCTGTGTCCCGAAAAACTGAAGTTAAATTTACCAAAAGTGGACGATGACTTTTGATCGTCCACCTAAAGGCCAGATATTTGAGTGAACTTGGTTAAGTTCTGTGATCAGATTGCTGTGCAGAATAACTAGAGCCAGCATTGTCATTGTTGCCACAAATGAAATCAAACTCTCAGTGGAACTGTTTTGTTGTGCTTCAATACAAAATGGCATTTATGTGCTTCATGTTTCATGGATTGGTCTCTTGGCCATCAAATTATCCCAAAATGAAATTTTCTAGGATTGTTTTACACAAACGCAAGGAAGCAAAATATCGTTTGTATAAAAAAGTAAAAATTATTTACCAGACATATATATATAAGCGGAAAATAAAAGATAGAAATGTCACCATTCACAGTTTTTTTACAACTATCCTTTCAAAGCATGTTTTCAGAACGTTAATTTTCTTGCAGAGCGGATGCAATTGCTATGATTGGACATCCAATTGATGATACTTAGTTTGAGGATTGTACAGCTTTGGCTGCAGCTCGAAATCTTTCATGTTTGATTGTACGGGTTGGGTTGTGTAAAAGGATTCAAAAATCAAGAATAACGACGTGCGAGGGGTTTTTTTTCTTTTAAAAATATGACTAATTAGTGGTTCCGTCGTGATAATTTATTTTTTAAGGCTAAGAAGATTCACATAAGCATTGCAACTACCTTCTGGTCACCATCATGTGATTCACACGCGATAAAAAATCGAACTTAGGCATGCCGTGTAAAATACGAGTTTGGAATTCTTTCCCAACTACTAAAGCACCTCGTGATTGTTTCCAGAGGGTTAAAAGAATAAAAAGGTAATACTTTTGAATAATGTGTTATGCTAAAGTTAGGGAAATGGTTTGTTTTTGTCACCTTTGGGAAATAAAAATATGAACTTTAACATAAGTGGTGGACTGGTGGAGGATTTAATCACCAAACTATCTCTTAATCTTTACTTCCCAAGAAAGCAAAGAACCATTTTTCCTCGGCAGACCCATTCCACCCAGTAACCCAGAAAAGCTACAGCAGCAGAGTTCACCATGTCTCTGTCGACAAGGCTGCGACGCCCTCAGCCGTCCGATGATCCTTCATCATCATCGCCGTCGTCGTCATCTTACTCGAAAGTCGACAAGCAAGGGAAATCGGACGGCGGCGTCGACAAAGGGTTGGGGTGGTTCTTTCCGTTGGTGGCTCTGGGAATGCTGAGGTACATGAGCGCCACATCAAACATCATACACGACTGCGACGAGGTCTTCAATTATTGGGAACCTCTCCATTTCCTTCTCTACAAATCTGGCTTTCAAACTTGGGAATACAGGTACCCCTTTCAATTGTTTTCAAATTTTTCTTTTTCCTCTTTGAAAAATTGAAATTTTGTCTATTTTGTTGGTGTTTGTTTCTGGGTTTTGATTGTTTTTTGGTTATTTGAAGTTTATTTGTTCTTAACGATGTTGGTATTTGTTGTTTTTGGTTATAATTTGTAGTGAACTATTAATCTCTGCTTTAGTCCCTGGATTAATTTATTGGGAAATTTGGTTGTTGTCGAAAAGTTAATTGCTTCTTACTCAATGTACAAGATTGTGTAGACCATTGCAACTCATGAACAATTTGCAACCTTCGTATGAACCAAAATGATTTTGTTCGTTACAGTACTTGGTAAGCGAATCTCTAGCCTAATGGCTTTTGGTTCATTGAATTTGATTTTTACAAACTGACATTAGAAAGGATTCTATGGTGTAGAGATATGTGTCTTAGCTTAGTATTTTGTAGGTGGAGTTAGATGCTCGTCATTGTTAACATAGTATTTTTAGCTCGGTGATTGTGTCCTTTGTTGCGTGCTCTTAAATTACTGCCTGCTTCACAGCTGTTGTGAATTCGATAATGAGTGCTATCATTTTGTATGTTAGAAATCCTACCTATGGTTGTTGTTGTTATATGCTTGTTGCAGTTCACAGTTTGCACTTCGGTCATATTTGTACATTCTTTTCCATGAATTGGTGGGTCAGCCTGCTTCCTGGTTGTTTGCTGAGGAAAAAGTAAGATTTCTTATTGCCCTTGCCTTTTGAACTGTATCTTCTCATTGTTAGCCCAAGGCTATGTCTTGCCTTCAATTATATATAGTTGTACTGAACCAATTCTTTTTGCTTATAGGTGAGAGTATTCTATGCTGTTAGAATCTTTCTTGGTCTCCTTTCTGTTATCGCTGACACTGTCCTGGTAGTTGCTCTTTCAAGAAAGTATGGAAAACGCCTTGCTTCTTACACACTTGCAATGCTATGCTTAACCAGCGGTTGTTTTTTCGCTAGCACAAGTGGGTTGCCCTTTCATTTTTCTCCCTTGATTTCAAAATTCCATTTCAGGATTTCTAACATCTCTGTTTTTGTTTTGTGATTATTCATTTTGTTTTCAGTTTTCCAATTTTAGCTCTCTTAATTTTCTGGAGCTATTTATTCCATGAATGACAGTGTTGTTGACATTATTTTCCAGGTTTCTTGCCAAGCTCGTTCTCCATGTATGCCATGTCTCTTTCATCCGGTTTATTTCTGCTTGATAAATACGCCATGGCAGTTGCAGTTGCAGCCGTAGGTGTAATCCTTGGCTGGCCATTCTCAATCTTGGCTTTTTTGCCAGTCACATTCTACTCTCTAGCTAGAAGATTCAAACAAGCATTTCTTGCGGGGGCCGCCATATCTGTTGCTCTTCTTGTAAGTCATTATTGGTATTTTGTTTGTGAATGAACAAAGTATAGTGCCTGTACCTACATAATTGGCACAAATAGAGTTATAATTTCTCATTTTAAGTTATCGCTTTTTTGTTTTCTTTATCATGCTTATGCTTATACATTGGAGGTCTTTCAGGTATCCTCGGTTCTCGTTGATCATTACTACTACAGCAGATGGACATCATCCGTGTTAAATCTGTTGATCTATAATGTTGCAGGAGGCGGTGAGAGCCATTTGTATGGAACTGAGGGGCCGCTATATTATATAAGGAATGGATTTAACAATTTTAACTTTTGTTTTGTACTTGCATTGCTGTTCCTGGCAATGCTGCCAATTGCAAGGAAAAAGTATGCCCCCAACTTGCTGATTGTTGTCTCGCCAGTATATATTTGGTTGGCATTCATGTCTTTGCAGCCGCACAAAGAAGAAAGGTTTGAATAAATATTCCAATATCTGGGAAAAACTGTTGCACAACTTTCCTATAATTGGTTGAATTTGAGTATGTTCATGCTAGTTAAAATTGCTTATTTTTGACGAAATCTACCATTTCCCAAATTTGCACAATCTTGCATTTGCAGTAAACAATTCAAATGCTGTTTATAGCTCTGTGCTTGATGTTTCCACTTATACTTTCTCCTCTATATTATATAATAACAAAAAACCATTTTTGTTTCCCCTAATTCTCTGCAATTAAAATAACTCTTAAGTATTTCCATACATCTTTTGAGAAAAAAAAACAAAAAGTATTTCCATACATCTTACCATAATCATAGGCAGCACTCACCTTGTAGTCTGAGATCGGAATATTTAGTGCGTCACTTTGGTATTTTGGTGATGCCACAGAAAATCTAAAGATTGTTCAATGTTATCAAGTGCAGGTTAGATGTGATTGATAACTAGATATTTCCATTTATCATTGCAGGTTCCTTTATCCAATATATCCACTAATTTGTGTTGCTGCATCTGCTGTCATTGAGAGCTTTCCTGATGTTTTCCGATCTGATTATGATTCTCAAGGAAATTCTCCAACGGTTATGGTAAGCTTATCCTATTTTTCATAAAAAATATTGTTAAATAGTCTTTGCAAACCTCTCATGGTCACACTATTGTTATTTATACATGCAGACAGCAAAGATTCTGAGACCTGTGGTTCTTAGCCTCATATTATGTGCCTCCCATGCTCGTACGTTTTCAGTGATCAATGGTTATTCTGCCCCTATAGAGGTTTACAAGCTTTTAGAGCATCATGACGATGTAGGAACAGGTGAGACCAACATCTTGCTGTTATGTTCTGTTAACAGTTAATTTAGTACGGATTATTAATGTTTGGAATGTACAATAGAAGAAAACTAATGTTACAATTTCATACACTTCCATATCGGTTAGGCTCACCACCTAGATTACTTTCCCACATCGAACTTATTTTTCTTGTTGCCGTCTCAGATTGTGTAAGGAACTTTTTGGGTTCTGAAGTTGATGTTCTGTTATGCAATTTTTGGAAGTCATGTCATTCTGAAAATTCTGTTTTCCCTTCTGAATTTCAGGTTCTGTTCTCTGTGTTGGAAGTGAATGGCACCGATTCCCATCATCATTTTTTGTTCCTGATTATGTGGGAGAGGTCCGTTGGATTGATGATGGGTTCAGAGGACTTCTTCCCTTCCCATTCAATTCTACCTTGGGTGGAACCGCAGCAGCACCACCATATCTTAACAACAAAAACAAAGCATCTGACTTGCAATATGTAATTAATCACCATTCTCTAAACTAGTTTGTTTAAAACTAAAAGGCCCTGTATTTGTTATTCTTTTCAATGTATATTGTTTTCATTGTAAAATGACCAATCATTCTTGTTGCAGCTCCGGGATCTTGATCAATGTACATTCCTTGTCGAGCTGCAGCTTAGTCGGCCTTTCCCTTCTCGGGGAAGTGACCTATCAACTTGGGAGGTAAAAATCAGTCTGCTGTTACACTTTTCCCTAAATGAATCACCATGTGCTGAATTGGTATTCTTCTGAATTGCAGGTGATTGGAGCATTGCCTTACTTAGACAGGGAGCTCTCGCCTGCCAAGTACCGCTCCTTTTTCATCCCGTATCTCTGGCAGCATAAGAATATTTTTGGCATGTACAAGCTGCTTAGAAGGGTACCGAAATGAAAGGAAGAACATCGCCCTCTGATAGTTTTAGATTCTGAACTAGCGTGACATCTCTGAAGTGCTAACCCGCCCTCTCGTTGTAAGGAAAACAAAAGTAAAGGAAGATCAACACTCCCCACCGAAAAAACACCCCCACCTCCACCTCCTCTCTTTTTTGATGTAGTTTTAACTGTTTTGGTAGGTGCGACTTCCTCGAAGTTCTTACTGATAAATGAGTAGTTGAGTTCAATAGTGTCTTGCATTGCGTGTATTTCTAACAGTTTGATGTTCCCAAGTTCGTCTCAGAAACTTTTATCTTGTGTTAGATTGAGAAATACCTGATGAAAATTTGAGAAATTTTGAGCCTCTTCTGTCTTTTGTCTTTGCTCTTGAAATTGAGATTTTGGTGCCTGTAACTGGACTGGATTGGGTATCTCATATAATTCAAGGTGTATGTGTGAGAGTCGAGGTGAACGATTTTTTATTTTAAGAGGATTCGAAAGGATTAGACATGAATGAAATTTATCCCTTCAGGCGCTTTAATTTTGAGAGATTGAAGGGGATAAGTATTTTAGACGAACTATAATTTATTCGTTCAACGTGCCTTGAAATTGAGTGTAGTGTGTTGTTCAATTCATTTCAATTCTAAGCACTGAACGACTCTAATCAAGAACGAAAAGAAAATTCCATTGATAATTGATGGAAGTTTCAACTTTGAAACTTCAAATATGTGAATGTATGAAGTTTCTTCATCATCTTTTTGAAGAGGTCAACTTCAAACTTAGAAACGTTTTACTTAAGGGTAAACAATTCCTTTGCCTACTTCGTATAGCGGTCTGTTGGTATTTTCCTTCACTTGTAAGTGAGAGGTCTTAGGTTCGAATTTCGTGGATGGCAAATTCGATATCAAATTAGATTATTCATTATGTAGCATAACTAAACTTCCACTCCCTTTAGTATAAAATGTATTGTTGTACTAAAAAAAAAAAAACAATTCTTTTCTAAAAAAAATAATAATAATTTAAACAATTAATAACTTTTTTTCTCACTTTTTGATTTTTCTCCTTGAGACTTGCTTGGTAAACCAAAGAAAAATCAGAGAAAAAACCAAATTTAAAATCCCTAATGGAAGAAAATCTATGAAATTAATTGCTATAAATTGAGAATCCAGGAAACAACCCAAGACACCAAATTAGGGAAACCACTTTTCATTTAACCTAACAAAATGCCTGAAACGAAGGCTCTTTTGCCTGCCATCGCCACTCTTGCTGCTTCAGCAATGCTTGTTCAAAGTATTGCCAACGACTTCATCCCTAACAAACTTTGGAACTACTTCTATTCGGGCCTCCATAACATTTCGCGACATTTCTCTTCTCAACTCACCATTGTCATCGACGAATTTCAAGGACTATTTCCGAATGAAATTTTTGAGGCCGCTCATGCCTATTTGGGCGCTATAGTGACCCCATCTGTTCGAAGAATCAAAGCGAGCAAGGATGCCAAGGAGAAGAAACTAGCAGTGTCAGTGGACAGAGGTGAAGAGTTAGCTGATGTATACGAAAATGTTCAAGTGAAATGGAAGTTGATTTATGTACAGGTTAAATCACCATTTGCTAGACATCGGGGTGATCTTAATGCATCGTTAAGACAAGAAGCAAGATTCTATGAGCTAACGTTTCATAAGAAACACAAAGAGAACGTGTTGAACTCTTACTTGCCCTACATTCTTGAGAGATCAAAGGAAATTAAAAGAGAACACAAGGAGGTAAAGTTCCACACAGTTGAACGGCGGAGATGGTTCCCGGATGCTGTCAAGCTTGACCATCCAATGACCTTCAAGCTCCTAGCAATGGATACAGAACTTAAGAAAGCTGTGTTGGATGATCTAAACAACTTTATAAATGGAAAGGAGTTTTATAGAAGGGTTGGCAAAGCTTGGAAGCGTGGATACTTGTTATATGGCCCTCCCGGCACAGGCAAGTCAAGCTTGATTGCAGCCATGGCTAATCACCTTAACTATGACATCTACGAGTTGGACCTAACAAACGTTAATTCCAATTCCGACTTGAGTAAGCTGTTGTTTTCCATGCCTAACCAATCTATAATCGTCTTTGAGGACGTTGACTGCACAATCAAGCTGAAAAATGGGGAACCGAGGGATGAATCACGGAGGAACAACAATAAAACTCAGGTCAGTTTACACTTTTACATTTAGAGCATGCATGACTAGCATTGATTAAACCGTTGGTCACTCAAGTTCTAGATGAATAGAATGACAGAATTATATCGCTTTAAGCAACTAATACTTACAGATATATGTGTTATCTTACTATTTCATCGACAGGTGACACTCTCTGGGCTCCTCAACTTCCTTGATGGTTTTCCGTCATGCTGTGGTGAAGAACGCATAATTATCTTCACAACGAATCACAAAGATAGGCTACATCCTGCTCTACTGCGACCAGGCCGCATGGACATGCATATCCACATGTCATATTGCACCACTTCGGCGTTTAAACAGCTGGCATTCAATTACCATGGTCTTTGTCATCACAATCTCTTCACACAGATTGAAGGGCTCATACGGGAGGTTGAAGTCACGCCAGCAGAAGTTGCAGGACAGCTAATGAAGAGCAAGAATGCTCACATTGCGCTCCAATGCCTCTTTGATTTCCTTCTCGAGAAGAAAATTCAACATAAAGGAGAAGAGGAAAGTTGATGTCATGGTTGAAAGGCAACAAAGAAAAAGGGATGTATAGATATCTCATATCGTTTGACATGTAATACGCATAAACTTTGCAGTTTGCACCTGTTGATGTGTACTAAAGAAATACCCGAGCTTCCATTTGTGTGATTTTCTAATATATCTTTTTCTAACCTTTCAAAACGATTATATACTAATATTTGAATTATGCAATTACTTTTAGTTCCAAAATTAACTCATCGCACCACCAAATTCTGTGTACTTTTCAGAATGGGCTCCATAAAGAGCAAAAGAAACATAATGGAGGAAAAGGTTCTTACCTTTTCAATCAGGATGCAAGAAGCATTAATCTTTTGACATCAGATCCCAGAAAACGAAGTTTCATATCTAAATTCTCATAACCACGGTCAATATGAGCAACACCGCTGATCTCTGTAGTGCCTTCTGCGGCCAACCCAGCTAATACCAGTGACATCCCACCCCTAATGTCATTTGCAACAAGCGAGGAACCATTCAAGACACTGACATGATAACAGACATGAGTCAGCACAATCATGCTATTTTCCAATTGGGAAAAAGGAAACATTAGAATACGAAAAAGGAAAATCTGCTTGCCTTCCATTGTCTTTCCCATAAACCAGAGCAGTGCTCGCACAGACCTGAATCTTTGCTCCAAGCTTTACCAGTTCGCTTACTGGTAGAAAGCAGGGAACATGTATAAGAATATCTCAATGCAATTAGTACTATTTGGCAATATTATCGGCTTCCCAAATAGGGAAACTAAAAGACGACAAGAATACATATATAATATGCATACCAGCACACACATTATCTTCCACATACCATGACTCATGCGTTTGTCAAAAACAGATTCCTCTACAGAACTTAAACCATTGCACGTGGTCAGAAAAGCCATTATTTGTGGTTGGAGGTCTGTGGGAAACCCAGGATATGGGCCTGTCTTAACCACAACGCTTCGCAAATTTGCACCCCCATGTCCGGACACTGCTGAAACCTGAAGTATTTATCAACTATAAATTACCACAAGATGCAACCAAAATGGGAACAGAAGAATTTAAAGACGATTTACATACTTCCAAGGTATCATGAGAACATTTCTTGATTTTGCAACCAACGGCCGATAGTTTGTGTATCAAAGAGGACATTTGGCAAGGTATGACAGGTGATATCGAGATGCATGAGCGAGTAATAGCTGCAGCAAGCATAAATGTACCTGCTTCAATACGATCAGGTGCAACAACGCATTCACAACCATGCAACTGGGATTTTCCCTTGATAACAAGCTTGTTGCTGCCTGCTCCATCCACACAGGCCCCACAGTTGGTAAGAAACCTAGCAAGATCAACCACCTCTGGTTCCTACGGTGAGTTGTTGGGAAAGTAAGTTACTTCACTATGTTAACATAATCCAATTAGACAGCAAATGATAACTGTTAACACACTTCTATTGTTATCAAAATCAGAATCTAAAATGTTCAGTGAGAGTCATCTTATCGTACTCTGGCAACATTGGACAGTACAGTTTTTCCATCAGCCATACATGCAGCCATCATAAGAGTTTCCGTTGCCCCCACACTCGGGTAATCAAGTTGGAAACTTCCTCCAACTAATCCTCTTCCATTTGCGGCGTATGCCTGAACTTTCCCATCCCTGCATATTGCAAAAATTATACTGGATTAACTCATCCCATCGTTCATAACCATGAAAATAACAACAACAAAAAACCTTTAGTAAACAACTGTGAGCACCACAGGCAAAATTGGTGGAGACCTGTGATTCAATCGGAAAATGCGTAGGGTAAAATATGTACTTCATGATGGTTAACACTAGAGAACACATATACATATGCATCAATAATAAAATCCTTGGATGTCCTATAGAGAGTGTTTTATCATCACACTACATTCTCTGCCTTTTGATGATTAATAAAGTACATATGCTGTGCTTCAGTGGGCAAGAGCACCTTTTGCTTCGTTCGTTACTTGGCACGCTAGAGTTCGTGAAAGAAATTGTGCATCTGGCGTTACGCTTAATAGCGACTCACCACCTATAATATCACAATTCAGGCAGATAAATTTATCATAAAGTGACTATAGAACCTCTTCTACACTGCAAAGACAAACTGTGCTTACTCTCATTCAAGTCTGATAAAAAAATTTAGCAACCATTCTATGAACACATAAATCAAACAATTATGCGCTTCCGATGTAAACTTAAAGAAAAATGTAGGAAAATTTACCTCAATTCAACAACAGCGCCAAGAGATTGAAGACCCCGAATGTATAGGTCCACTGGTCGAGCCCCAATATTGCAGCCACCGGGTAATGCAACCACCGCCTCCCCGAATCGGGCAACCAACGGCCCAATGACGAAAAACCCACCTCTGATCTTTTGAATTTCATCCGCATTAGGCTCAACTGAGCCAACCCCATCGGTGTTAACCAACATTTCGTTGTCTAAGACTTCAACTTTAGCTCCAAGAGACACTAAAACCGAAGCCATTGTGCGAGTATCGAACAAATCGGGCACGTTTTGAATCCTTGAAGTGCCTGAGCAGCAAAGGGTCGCCGCCAGAATCGGCAAAGCTGAGTTCTTGGAGCCGCTTATGGGTACATGGCCGGAGAGCTGGGAAGGGCCGGTGAGTATGAGCTTCGGGTAAGGGGTTTGGATTTGGGTTCGGGTATCGATTTCGGGTGCCGAAATCAGTGGTTTTAGAAGAGAATGGGGTAACGGTTTTGTGGGTTTTGGACTTGGTGAAAGGTTCAAGGTAGAGAAGGAAGCCATTTGTGAGATGTGAAGAGTTGCCGCCAAGTTCTTCATTGGCTACTTTACCTAGTTGACATCCTCTTTTGTTTTCAAACTTTTTGTATTTTTTTTTAATTTCTTTTTTATACCTTCTAACTTTTTCTTTGTTTCAAGATTTTGTGACTGTTATTTTCTCTATAAAAAATTAGAGATAAAACTCGTCATCCGAACTTAAAATTTTTTATTTACATATAGATGAAAATACCCTAAACTACTGGTTCATACAATATGTTTTACTTTTTAGTGTTGCGTCTAAAGCTTTTCAAAGAAAATTTTGCAAGCATTGATCAATACATACGTTGTATTTTGAGATCCAATTGATCGTCGTAGCTAATAGCTTCATGTAAAATACTCAAATCTTCTTATTCGCTTGAAGTTTGAACAATGTATTCATTTTTATTCTCTATTTATCAAATATTTGAAGTTTGAAAAATGGTTTGTCAGATTTCAGATAAGAAATTCACTGCAAATAGCATACAATTTTAACATTTTTACTCTCTACTTATCATTTGTCATATTTCAGTTTTTCTTTTGTTGGTCGAAGTTTGTCATATTGTAGTTGAAAGGGAAAAAATTGCGGAAAATAACAAGTAATTTGACTCCCTCCGCATGCTTTAAAATAGAAAGTCCAACAATTACCACACAATACTAACCAACCCTAATTTCTTTCACTTATAAAAGGACTCTTTGGTTGCCTTCAAGAAACTTAACATGAGGGGGAACGCGGAACACCATATATAATAAGGAAGAAATTCATAACGCCGTCAAGGGGAAATAAAATGGCCAAGGCTTTGGGTATCGCAGCACTCTTCGTCATCTTGTCCTGCTTCTACTCTCTCGCGTACGCCACCAGGGGTGCCGCCACCAGAACTCTCTTCGTGGAGGGCAAGGTGTACTGCGACCCATGTCGTGTCCAATTCGAGACTAGACTCAGCACACCCATTGACGGTAAGTAGTCTAACAAGTTGTTACATATGCACGGAGCTCGTAAATCAATTGGTTTCAAGAGTATTCATGTCTGCATTCGAAGTCCCGATTTTGATTCTCCGTCTCCCTAATATCCGTTCATATCAAAATTGTTGCATACATATTCTGTTTTATCTATTCATTTCTTCTTATTGGTATCTAAGATCTCCCATGTGTGACAAATGATCAAATGTTCTTTGGTTGACGAAAAACGAAAGGAAGATGGTTTTATGTGAAGGTTATTTGTTCCCTAATCTCAAAGTGATTTTGTCCCTCATACTTGAAAATGCTAGGCGTCTCTTTTTCTTTATACAAACTATATTCGGGGGTACGGAATTGGACCTTAGAACCGAAGGGGCATAGTAAATATTATAATCATTTGAGTTGCAAGTCATTTCATTAACGTAATACCAGACTATCATCTTACCGTGCAAAGATCAATGCACGTGTTAAAACTAAAAATAATTGCATGCATGCATGCAGGTGCTACGGTAGCCTTGGAGTGCAGAAGCCGTGAAAATGGTACCATCGTATACGTAGTCGAAGGAAAGACCGATAAGAATGGCATCTACAGTCTGGCCACCCACAAGGAATTTGAGGAGCAAATCTGTGAGGTGAGGACCGTGCGCAGCCCTACCGATGAGTGCGCTGACCACTTCGACATCGAGAGGGCTAGGATTTTGCTCACGCACAACAATGGTGTGAACGCCTTGGCTCGCTACGCCAACCCCCTTGGGTTCATGAAGAAGGAGAGTACTTCTGAGTGCGAGGCAGTTCTTAAGGAATTGTTCCCCGAGGAGACTCAAGATCAATAAGTACATTATCATGATATCATATGTATAACTAAACTCTCCCTCCTCATTACCTAATGTGAAATGCTTAATTATATAATATATAGAGGAAGAAATTATAATTCTCCCAATATCTAACTTCTCCTTCATATATATGCTATGTGTGGTAACTCTTAACTTTAATTTAAATGTTAATTACTAATTTAAAAAAGAATTAGAAACCAAAATAAAAATACGAAAATACGAATAGCCACCACACTGCACCCCACAGTGAGTTGAGGTGATCGTGTTTGGTGGAGTGGGGTGGCTGATGGTATTATGTTTTTATAATTCCTTTTAAAATTAAAGTTAAGTAGAGTTAAAAAAAAAAAATTAACGTCGGAGTGGGCATTGAAAATTCAATCATACATGACCAACAAACAATGAGTTTAATTTTGATATTGGTGGACTAGTTTTATTTGTTTGTTTTTTTTTTTTTTTTATTGATAGCAACGATAGGAGATTTCCATAAATTAAAAACTGGTACCATTTACAAACAAAGGCCGGCAGGAACAGCCAGGTCAATTTACATTCAGACGCAATTCATGCTAAAATCAGGCGGCTCCTCAAACCAGAAGCAGGAAGCCGCATCCATACGAAGAGCAAAGCGGGCTAGGCGATGAGCAATGATAAGTGCATTATTTGTTATTATTTCATATCATTTATCCCTATGTTTTGTTAACGAATTGGTCTTAAAAGAACTTTATTACTTTCCTTTTCTCAGTTTCAACCAATATGTGCACTCAGGACGTTTTGGTGATAATTTGACTTTCCGAAAGAATTTTGATGTAAGGCCAATCGGAGAAGGAAGCTAAGAGGTTGAAGACCATTTTTTCCGAATTTCATAATTTTCCATGAAGCCAAACGTTCTAGTTTTGTAAGTTAATCCCGCAGAAGTTGCAATCCCATCAAAACTGCGCAGTTGAGGGAGAATGACAATTTGAAGGCTTTCTCGATTTTTCTAGTGGTGTGCAACATATGCTTGGAAGGATAAGAGATAACGCTACATTTCCATATTTTTACAGAATTTTGCAGAAGATAAATCGACCCCAAATTTGACGTGAAAGTCAGATGACGTGTTTTCCAAGCCAAGAAGGATTCTTTGAAAGTTTGTTTATTAATTATTTAGGAATTTGTTTTGATTTAGGAGAGTTTCTACCTGACTTTTTAGGGTTTTCCTAGACTACATATAATACCCTAGGCTCTCTTAAGACTACCTTATACACAAAATTCGTCCAAAGGGAAGGAGGGAAGCTTAGCGTACGTTTTACCATACTTTTCTGGGTTTTTATCTTCTTCCATGACTTCTTCCGTGATATTTATTATGACTATGTGTAACTAAACTACTTTTCCAAGGTTTATGATGAAACCATGACATGATTATTTCCGAAGTATTTTGTTGATTATTATTCGATTACATGCCATGTTTAATTCTTAATATTTGTATTTAATTTATTCTATTTTCGAATGTTCTTGTGACTGGCCATCATTGTGAACTTGTTTCTAGATAATTAGATAAATCTAAGAGGATGACCAATCAATTAGATTTATTGGAACTAATATTAAGAAGAGTAGAAAAACTAGTGAGGATGACCAATATCAAATTATTCCTACTTGGTTGACGTGATTCTCAATGCTTAATGGGTTTTCATGTGTTTAATTGTATGCCTAACCAATAGGATATAGTTGTCACGTATAGACACACGAGTTGATGCCTAACCACGGATTAATTCATATCTTAGAAAGAACAGCCTTAAATATTGGCATGGTAATTGGATAGTGATTGGCTTGAAGAAAAGGGAATAGGATTGTTACTTGTGGATTCATGACCATAAGCTTTCATCATATTAATTTGTTTAAACCTTCATTCATTGTGTGTTTTCATTATTCATCTTTCTGGTTTGAGTATAAGTTGGAGTTTAAATTATTTCTCGTAATCAATTAAGCAATCATTTGTTTCCTAATTAAGTTAAGTTTCGGATAATCAGTTGGTTGAATTGGTATTAAAAGCAATCCCCATGGGATCGACCTCGTATTTGCATATATTCCTACAATTGATTCATGCACTTGCGAGTTTAATTTGGTTTAAATTAATCTATTATTTAGATTAGTTTAAATATACATCAAGCAATATCATTGCCTTGACGACGTGTATGGGTAACCGAAGCTCCAGTGATCCTGAGAAGAGCAACCTTAGAGGCTTCAACAATATGCTCCACTGTAGACATATTCATAGAACTCTCGAGCAACACTTTCACGATCTGGAAAGAATATTGGATGCTTTTATATTTTTGTTTTTGATTTTTAGTTTTTATAATGTATTATTCAATATTTGTGTGTACAAGCTTGCATGATACTTAAACTCAAACATCAAAGGAGAAAGATCAAATTTGTTTCTTTTCCTCGCTTATTGGTATGCAAGAAAGATCGAACTTGTGGATGCCATTAACTGCACACTCACTTATTGGTGATCAGAAAGAGGTAGAAAGTTAGAAACCATACTCAAAGATACACAAAATTAAGGCAATCCTACTTCAAGTTTTGCAGCGTATAAGATTGTCATAATCTATTAGATATAGAGTACTTTCTGCACACTTCTTTTTCTTCTGTACATTCTTATTTGTTATCGGTTATTGAACGGAATAAATCAAGAAAAATTTAGGAACAAAAGTAAATAAGAATGTAGCACGCTCCTATTAGTCATGCTTTGATTTGAAAACAGCTGAAAAATAGAGGAGCACTACTAGAGCGGCTCGCTTTTCATTTTGTAGGAGTAGGTGCTTGTTCTTTGTTGAGTTTGGGTTGGGGGAAGAGGGCATTTCCATCGCAAAAGATTTAACCCGGCCAGAGGTTGCTTGCACAAAAAGAAAAGTAATAGAATAGGAAAATGCACATTTCGATGATCATTTAATACTTTTGAGTCATATTTAGCTTAGAGAACTTAACAATTTAACTCTTTGATCATTTTTAATGTAATAATGCTCATATTGTATAATCGCTCACCAAAATCATATGCTCAAACATTCTTTCCATTGGTTTGTTGGTGAACCCATTTTTCAATTGGTAACACGACCATTTTATATGCAAGAACCGCTCGAAAATAGCTAAAAACGAGCCAAGGCTATAAACTGTAAATAATAATTCACTTTAAAAAACCTAATTAAAATAATTAAATAATAAAATCACCAGAGTATCAAAACTTCCTATAATTTGTTTTTGGATCCTTTTTTGACATCTTGAACTTTGAATCAAGTGAATCAAGTACAAAAGTTTACTAGCGGTGCATTGTTATATAGGTTATCACTTTTTTGTTCAACCCTACTACTACGGCTAAAGGTTCAAACCTTCTTCTTTAACGCAGATTAGTACAAAATATCTCATGTATTAAAAAAAAAGGAGTTTTAACAAAATACTCCTGAACACTTATGATATTATTTGCTTTTAACAAAAAATCACATTTTTACCTTATCTGGATACTATTCACTTCACATTTGTTTGTCATTTTTCATTAAAACTAAAGTTTTTTTTTAACTTTTCATAAGTTTTCCTTAAAAAAAAAAAAAAAAAAAAAAAAAACTAATGAAAAAGACTTCAAAACTTGCATTTTAACCAAAAAGCATCATATAATTTTATTTAATGATAAGGACAAAAAAAAGAAAATAATAAAAACAAAAAATAACCTTACGAAAGCGCGTGCATTGTAAATTCTGTAAACTTATCATATATTGTCACATCCCGGCCCGGGTGGGACCACTTCCCGGGCCCGCTTCCACTACCGTAGCACGATATTGTCCGCTTTGGGCTTACCATTCCTTCACGGTTTTGTTTTTGGGAACTCACGAGCAACTTCCCAGAGGGTCACCCATCCTGGGAGTGCTCTAGCCCTCTTCTCGCTTAACTTCGGAGTTCCTACGGAACCCGAAGCCAGTGAGCTCCCAAAAGGCCTCGTGCTAGGTAGAGATGGAATATACATATAAGGATCAGTCCCCTGGGCGATGTGGGATGTCACATATATATTGCAGCAGCCCACACCTTTTTATTATTATTTTCTTTAGTAGCTTCAAACCCTAGCCTCATAGCGTCACGTGCCTCCTTCCTCTTTCTTTATTTCATGTTTAGGAGCTTTAATAATGATAGTTAGTACTTTCATTGGTCCCCTCATGTTCCTGCTCTCGCTATTTTCAACGAAAATGTAATATATTATCTCTCATAATAATCTTAACTGATAATTTCCTATTTGAACTTTTTGTGAGAATAGAATAGGCTCTCATCTTTCCTAACATTAGAGAAAGACTTGCTCTCTTCAAACTTAAATAACTAATTGCTTTGGATGACACTTCCTAAAGAGATTAGACCATCATAATACTTTTGACGCCATTCTCGTGTATAGAATAATTATATGGGTCTGCTATTCATTGTTAGAATGTTCACGACTCATCCATTAATCAGTATAACAATTAATCAGAAAACACAACTAATCATTTGTATCTAGTTAATGTTGATGACATGCCTTTTCCAAGTTTATTTTTCAAACCATCGGCCGCTAATTTCTTGGCCCCCAAAACCATGGATGCTAGTGTGCATTTTCCAGTTGAGCTTCGTCTGTTGTCCATTGTTTTCTCTGCCATGGTTAATGAAATAGTGGTAGTACTAGTGTTCAATTTAAAAAATAGTCAGTGTTTTGTTTACAAAATAGTGATAATATTAGTGTTTAGTTTAAGAAATAGTCAATGTTCAGTTTACAAAATAGTGATAGTATTAGTGTTCAATTTAAGAAATAGCCAGTTTTCAGTTTAAGAAATAGTGATAATACTAGAGTTTGGTTCAAGAAATAGTTAGTGTTTTGTTTACAAAATAGTGATAGTATAAGTGTTCGGTTAAAGAAATAGTTAGTGTTTAATTTACGAAATAGTGATAGTACTAGTTTACGAATTAGTGATAGTAATAGTGTTCGGTTTAATAAATAGTTAATGTTTAGTTTACGAAATAGTGATAGTATTAGTGTTCAATTTAAGAAATAATCAGTATTCAGTTTACAAAATAGTTAGTATTCAGTTTAAGAAATAGTGATAGCACTAGCGTTTGGTTTAAGAGTTAGTCATTATTTGGTTTGAGAAATAGTTAGTGTTAAGTTCTAAATATAATCAGCGTTCGATTCTAGAAATAATCAATGTTCAGTTGTAAAAATAACTAGTGTTAACATGACATGACACAAACTTAAAAAATTGTTCGAACTAAAGATAAAAATCACTATTTCGAAATTAAAATAAGCATTGTTTATTAAACTGAAAATGAAAATTTTCTTTATTTTTTGTCTTGTAATATTATTACTTAGTTTGTTCCCAAAAAAATTATGAAACAATGGTCAAATAAAAATACAATAAAATAAAAAGTAGAAATTGTAATATTTATGGAGTGAGAGTAAAGTGATATGAGAGCAACTCCAGCGTGGGAGTTTGCTCGGGGGACAAGCCAGGAAAAAGGGCCCAAGAGCCCGCCCTACACACTCTAGCATGGGGAGCCCGAGGGACAGCGGAGGCCCGAGCACCAGACCTGTAAGGAATTGCCAGCTCGCGAGCCCGAAGTGGATATGACGCAGGGCTGACATCATCCAGGCGCTAGCCCAATTTTTTTTTTTTTTTTTGTCAGGCGCATGCACCTGACCCACGCGTGAGGGCGCCTCATCCGACAAGGTTTCAACGCTTGAGGCCCGCTGCACAGTTTCAAAAGTTACCGTTCGGAAGCCACGTGGTTTCCCATGGTCAATGGTTGATATTATTCTCCTTTATAAATAAATAAAAAAAAAAAGAAGAAAAAATAGTTTTAAAATTCAGAAATGTTACCGTTGTGCCACGTGCCACAATCTGGAGTGTTGGAATTCAATTTTTTTAAAATCCAACGATAGAGATTAATTAGTTGAATAAAAAAAATTTAAAAATTGTAAAAAATGAATAAAAATCAGAAAAAAAAAATTGTTTTTACTTTTCTATAAATACCTTCTTAAATTATCTAACTGACACCACAATTTCATATTTTCTTAACTACTTTCAACCACATTCCTATCTTTCTCTCAAAGTTTCAATCCAATTTTTTTCAACAAAATGAATACTGATGCAAGTACAAATTGGACGCTTCTTGAAGATATTGCGTTGTGTACTAGCTCGGTTAAAGTTAATCATAGTTCGCTTACAGGTAATGAGATGCAGTTGTGAGAAATGTGGAGTCTTATTCATACCAATTATCTTAAGAAAATCGGTGGGAAAAGAACCAAAGAATCGATGTCTAGTCGTTATAAATTACTGAGCCAATCGTTTAGTACGTGGAGAGACGCCTTGGCGCAAGCGAGTACTAATATTCGAAGTGGGGAAATTACACGGATCAGGTAACAATATATTATTTATTTGTTTGTACTATACCCAAATTTACATTATAATTATTTGTTTGTATTATTTATTTGTTACCTTTGTTACCTACTTTCATTATAATTATTTCTTATCCCGCATTGTGTATCAACTTCAAACACAAGCTTGGTATGGTGCTAAAACCAAAATAAAAAATAAATCATTCAACTGGTGGGTATGTTAGAATATTGTCAAAGATCGTCCTAAATTAAAAGTTGTGCATGTCAGTCCAGAAGTTTTCATGAACATCACCCCTGTACACTCTACATCTGATCATGCCTCGCATGTTCGTGAAGATGAAGCAGAAGAAGTGCCCAAAATGCCCCCTGAACAAGCGTCAGGATCGATCCGTTATCCAATTAGGCCTCAAGGTAAGAAGGCTTCAAAGAGAAAAGGGAGTGCTTCAAAAAATGATTATGCAAAGTATATGGAAGAACTTGCTCGCCAAGGTGAATTGACTTTGGTGCGGGAAATGGCGAAATTTGAGGCAGATAAGGCTATAGAGGAGGCAAATGCTGCAGCTATTGAGAGAGCATTTCAAGCTAATGAGAGAGAAAGAGAGCTACTTAGGCAAGAAAGGGAACATGTTAGAGAAGAAAGAATGGCTCAACGAGATCGTGACATTATGAACACGCCTTTAAAAGGGAAGTCTCCAAATTCTAAATATTTTTGGAAATCGAAGAAAGCGGAAATAGTGCGAATAAGGCGTGCAAGAGAAGTGAAAGCAAGAGGAGATGGTCCTAGCACAACAAGTGAAGATCATCCTAGCACCACAAATTGGTTAAGTGATGATAAATAGAGTACTTATTGTAATCGGAGCCCATAATTTTCCAATCACTTTGGCTTGTAATTTCTTATTTATTGAATAAAGTACTTTATGTTGTTTCCAATTTATTGATTTTAATACTTTATTTAATTTGGTAATTTATTTATCCTAAGAGAATCTTTATTCAAAAGACACACCAAATAAAATACATAAACATACCAAATAATAAAAAACTCAATAAATGAACTAAAAGAAACACACCAAATAAAATTAAATAAACACACCCAAAAAAAAAAAAACGAACACACTAAATGAACTTAAGTATCTTGAGCTTGTTTCAATTCCCACTGGTGCTCTATCAAATCAATTTGTCGGGCATTGTGTATATATGGCCTTTGAAGTGCAGTATATCGTTGAATGATCAATTCATTGCAACGTCCATCCCTTTCTAATGGCTCATGTTGCACGGGTTCTTTGGTGGCACCATGAGCACAATATATACGTGTTCTTGATGGATCGAAGCGACTCTACATCAAACAATCTGGCAACACCCATGACGATCGTCCAGCGAGCTTGGAGGGTACCAAAACAATGCTCCACATCATTCCTACACCCTTCTTGACAGCTTCCAAAGTGTTTTTTCTTTGCACTTCACGGATGTGGCACTGTTTTGACAAATGTTGACCACTTTGGGTAAATGTCGTCTGCTATGTAGTATGGCCCGTTGTACATACGTCTGTTGATGCAGTACGTGACTTTTGGTGCCTTTCCTTGCAAGACATTGTTGAATATTGGGGATTGGGCAAGGACGTTGAGGTCATTTTGAGCTCCCAGAACCTCAAAAAAAAGCGTGTCAAATCCATGTATCAAAAGATGCCACCGCCTCCAAAATGATACTTTTTGCTCATTTTCTGTCCTCATAAGCGCATTGCCATGCATTTGGACAATTTTTCCACATCCAGTGCATACAATTGATGCTTCCAATCATCCCAGGAAAACCTTGCATCTCGCCCTTCTTCAGAAGCCTTTGCAAGTCCATGTCAGTAGGTTTTTGGAGGTACTCTGCGGTGCAGATAGATTCAATTGCTCTGTAAAACCTCAAGAATTGTTGATTTCCCCATCCTTGTTATCTCATCCACTTGGTCTGCAAATACTTCATATGCAAGCATCCGCAAGGCAACATTAATTTTTTGTTGAGGAATGAGACCCATAGCACTAAAAACATTATTCTTTTGCACAAAGTAAGAATTATGGTTGCAAACAACAATCATGATTTTGTTGAACAAATGTCGTTCCATTCTAAAACGACGTCTAAAGTACGTATCAGGGAATGCACTATTATGGACAAAATAATCGTCCAAGAGTTTTGTACCTCGTCGTTGCATGCTTCTATCAAGGTTTCCAGAACGGCTGGGCATGCAGATCTGACCCACAGCTTGGATGACTCGACGGGAATGTGAGGCTCTGCCCATTCTTGCTTCGTCATCTCTCCTTCGACGCTTATCATCCTCTTCCCTCTCATTTTGGGCCACCTAGATATTGAACATTCCTTCTGATTGGTTAAACAATTCTTCCTCTTGCTGATCAATTTCCCACAACATCCTTGAAGAAGAAGACATTGTAAAAATGAAGCAGAAACTATGAATAATGATAGAGATCTTGAGAAAATTGGTGTGAGATTTGTGAGGATGAATAGTGGATTATATAAGGATTCAGAAAGAATTAGGTTGTAGATAATGTCATGTGGCATGCCATCATTCGTAAAAAATCTGATGGAAATCTATCCTCAAAGATTGTAAACAGATTATGACACATGGCGCGACGTGATTGGTTAATAATCTAATCGGAAATCCATCACCAATAATTGTCTTTTCAGATTTTATGACACGTGGCGCAACGAGAACGATTAAAAATCTTATCCAAAATTACAAATAAAATTATTTTGTATTGTTTTATAATTTTTCGGATAATGACACATGGCGTAACGAGAACGATTAAAAATTTTATCCGAAATTACAAATAAAATTATTTTGTATTATTTTATAAATAAATAAAATATTAATATTTTATTGTCTATTATCAGGGCTATTGAAATGCAACGGTAGAGATGCAAAAGACGGTTATTGTTCACTGGGTGGATAGCATAGTGTATTGCCTGGGGGGTTCCCACGCTAGAACTGCTACGAGAGATGAGAGAAAATTAAAAAAAAAATTGATGTGATGTGAATGGGTGAGATGAGAAGAGAGAGAAATTTGATAGGAATATGTGAAAGAGAGGGGAGAGAGAGGAGCTAATAATGGTGGATGGTCGTAAAAAATAAAAACAGTGGAGGGAGAAAGAGAGAGGGATGGAAAGTATGTGTGGTTAAGTGATGTGACGTGACGTGCGCTTCAGATTTTGTTTTTAAATTTTTATTATTTTTAATTATTATGTTTAACTTTTATCATTTTTTATTAAAACTTAAATCTTTTTATAAAATTTAAGTTATTTTCATTAAATAAAGTTAGTGAATGATTTTTTGTTAATAAAAAGTTAAGAAAAACCTTTTCCAACCAACTGAAAAAAGGGTAAAAAAAAATATAATAAACAATTTAAAAGAGAAAAATAAATAAAAGAGAAAGAATAATAAACAAGTCAAATCATTTCCTTTATATTTTTCACGGAAATAAAAAACGCGTAATATATTCATAAACCGAGTGCTTATTATGATTACTTCTTCGTCCTAGTGAGAGAAAGAAAGAAAGAAAACCCATCTCTCTCTCTCTCTCTCTCTCTCTCTCTCTCTGCAAAACCCTCATTGCGTATTCTGCAATCGACCTTCGAATGGCGAATAGTAATCTTCCCCGACGAATCATCAAGGTTCGCCCTTCAATCTTCTTCTCGATCCCTCTTTTAATTTACCTCTGATCGCTCTGTTTGCGTCCCCTGAAACGAAAATTTAAACTTTTAATTGCCTTTTTTTGTGTGGTAATTTCATCGAATATTTTCTGTGATTTGTGCCTGAAAAGATTCGATCTTCATGATTTTTGTATTGAGTTTCGTAGCGACGAAATGGGCATTAGGGTTTTGTCGGTTTGATTTTTGGGTAATTTTTTAACAATTTTTGCTTTTTTGTATTTGATCCCGAAGGAAACTCAACGTCTGCTCAGTGAACCTGGTAAGTGATTCACCTTTTCCCCATGATTATTTGGAGCTTGAATTTGAAATTATGCTTAAAATTCGTTTGATTTGTCTACAAGTTTGTTTCATAAAGAAATTCACAACGAATGAGAGTTTGATAGTTGTTTTTAGGCTTTAGTATAATATAAATATGCTAATTTTGTTGGGGTTTTATTTGTAAAGGGTTTTATGCGGTTTACTTATTACTTTATACTGTGATTTGTGGTTTCAGCACCGGGGATTAGTGCTTCACCGTCAGAAGAGAATATGCGATACTTCAATGTGATGATCCTTGGCCCAACACAATCTCCTTATGAAGGTATATATAACTGGACTGAATGCTTTGTGGAATACGTTATCTACGAAATCTATACCTGGTTGGTTATTATTGTTTGAAATCTTTTACTTGTTTGAGGAAATTTCAGAGAAGGGATATTTTATTGTTTGAAATTCCTTTTATTTTATGCACATAAATTCTTAAGTTTGAGCTATACGTTGGGAGTACAAGCTTGATAGAACTCTGCTTGTGGGAATGATGACTTATTGTGTCTGCATTGTTGGATGTATGTGTTTGTGTTGTTTTATGTGAAGATGAGCTGAACAAATTAAGGATGTTGTTGTTTGTCAGAGTATTTCTGAGGAATAATTAGGAGGCTGGATCGTTTTGTTGAGCCATATAGGGGTTAGCGAAGGTTGTCTATCTTTGAGATCTGTCTTTAGTCTTGGGTACAAAAAGCGCATCCTGTCCATTTCAGTAATTTAATGTAGCAATGGAGTGCTCTGGGATTACTTTGTGTTGGTATCTCCCTTGCATTTCTAATGGAAGTATATGTATGAAGTGAACTATCGGTGGATGCATGCAGCTAGACCATGTCATGGAGCTAGTAGAGATTTTTGCAATATTCCGAAGGACTCAGCACAACAAACAGGAATGCTTTGGATTCAGTTGCAATGGATGGCTAGGGAGAGATCATGCTACTCAGAAAGGCAGGCTAATTGAGATGATTTAGCAATCAGCCCTATAATTGGGGAAAGTTATATCTCACCTGGACAAATTTGTATGTCGTTCATACGGTGGGAAAGTGTAGTCCATATATGTACCGCCTGTCTATCTCATATATGTTCGTTGGCCTGTTAGAGGGGCATAGCATTGACGGCACACAACAGAGTGTCAAGTACAATAAACCAAGCTAGATTATTGATCATAGCCTTTCTAGCCATTCACTACTCCGCTATTTTACATCTGTGTGGAGTGGCAGTCCACTTTGCTTTGCTTTGAGCTTGAGAGAAATGATAGTAGCTTATTTGTTCTTATATGTTGTTATATTGGCCACTTGGTTACTACATATTATGTTCTTAGTCAGAAACATAAATATCAGATGTCAGTTTCAGAAATGTAATATGGGTTAACATGGCTCCTTTTTCTTGTTACTCCTTTGCTTTCTTTTCCATCACTCACCGTCGTAATTTGTAGATTTAACATGATATGTTTCATTTCTATTTAGGAGGAGTTTTCAAGTTGGAACTCTTTTTGCCTGAAGAATACCCAATGGCTGCTCCAAAGGTACTTTGATTTGAAGTCAGTATAACACAATCCCAAACAGCTCAAAGATTGACGGAGAGTATGAAATGAAACATTGCCGTGTATAGGAGCGCTTTTAATTCTTGATTCAGATGTCTGGAGTTATACAGTTATTTGATAAATGGGTTTTATCTTCACAATTCTTGTTCCTCGTTTGTGATAGATTTCATCACAGTTTTGTTTTATTTGTATGATTCTCTTGTCGTGCAATTTGATGGGATTTAATGGTGTTCCATGCTTTTTTCAGTTATGTGTGGTTTTTGCCCACAATGGCTGTAGTGTGTTTTGAGAACTGTTCTGAAACAGGGTAGTCTTTTAAAGCAGATATTGTTTTTACTAAGGAGAAATTAATGTTTGGTATGTGTATATATAATGCATATGGGGTGGATCTTTAGGATCTCAGAGGGCAATTCTTAAAGTTGCAAAAGATAAGGGAGTTAAATAACTGAAGTTATTTGGATTTTAGGAATAAATATTATCTTTTATATTACACTTTTTTTAACGAATGTGATTCTTATCGTTGATAATTTATGATAGAAATTTCCGTAGGTTAATAGTTGTACTTGGTTTTTCTTAGATAAAAAAAACTATTCTAAGAACAGTCTATACATATTTTCACCTTTACTAGCAAATGTTGTCAATTGTAGCATGCTCACATAGGTGGAATTTTCGTAGTGTGCAGTTGAATAATTAGCTGGCCTTTCCACAGAATGCCAACATGGTACACGAAACTGTTAAAGACTTCCTAAGGCAGCTGGGTTGTCATTGTTTATTAATTTTGCGAATGTGTCAGGACATGGTTTTGGTCCTGCAGTTTAAGGCTCCACTTTTTCTGCATTAAGCATGCCCCCAGGCATTTTAACATTCCTTACGTATGTGTATCAAGTAATCATTTGCTTTTCCGTTGTACCAGGTTCGATTTCTCACCAAAATTTATCATCCTAACATTGACAAGGTAGGCTGTGGTGTGCATATGGTTTTTTTTTTCCTTCCTTTCACTTTCAAAGGTTCCCCAAATAATTTAATGCCTTTCATGCACGGCTTTGTTAATCAGCTAGGAAGGATATGTCTTGATATATTGAAAGACAAGTGGAGTCCTGCTCTCCAGATCCGAACTGTACTTTTGAGGTATATGCTTTCATATTGTCTTTGTAATATGCTATACCTGTTCTGTGATCAAAACAAAACAAAACATCAGTGTAGATCACTGGTTAAAATATCACAATAAATTATGTGTTCCATAACAGAATAAATTTTGGCATGGTTCATACGCCTGTAACGTGGAGTTTGTGCAGCTGCTATTCCATTTCTACTGCATTATTCTTATACAGGCACTGCATAATTTGGGAAATGTTTTAATGTGATGTATTGTTCTATCCTTTCAAGTAAAATTGAAACTGAATTATTGGCAATGTTGCTATCATTTTCTTCTAGTATTCAGGCACTGTTGAGTGCCCCAAACCCCGACGACCCGCTCTCAGAGAACATTGCAAAGCATTGGAAATCAAATGAGGCTGAAGCTGTTGAAACAGGTGTGTTTCTTATTATTGGTTTTCCCCAGCTTACATATTACTCGAATATCACTTAAAAAGCGTCGAAGCTAATGCGTTCTTCCTTGATCCATCCCCGCAGCCAAGGAATGGACCCGTTTATATGCAAGCGGTGTGTAATGACATGGTGAAACTTTATCCTTCCCTAAAATAACATTAATGCAATGTACGCTATTCGCTGTCATTTTTAAATTGAAAATTCGGAAGAATTGATGTTTGAAATATTGGAAGTTTAATGTTCACAAGCTACCATTTGTTGCCTGAAACTTGTTCCATCTCTTTCGGAAGCTCGTCTGTGAACTTGTATGACCAAGGATCAAGGTATTTTCTTTCTCCACTCTCAAACGACGGCTGTGGGGTTTATTATAGGCACTTCAAAATATGGATTTCTGGCAATGAATATTGTGAATAATTATTTACTAATTTTCTTTTTCGTTTTGCTGTGTTTTGAAGAATTGTATTCCCCGTTAGTGATGACAATTTTTCGTTAAATTGTATTTGGTTGCTTGGATTAGTTTGGATTGGATTGAATATTGAACAACTCGTAAATTTCAACGTACGTTTGAACAAATAAGAAAACAAATGAAAATGGTTTGAAAATTTTGAGTTTTAACGATAAGGACAAAATAAAGGATAAAGTGAACGGTACCAAGATTGATTTTTTAATGTAAAAAAATGGTTTTTAGTTGAAGTGAACTGTAGTGGAAGTTTTTTAGTTAAAGTTTTGTCGATTAATTTGTTGGTAACGTGTACTCGATCTTGCAAGTGCGTAAGAAGCTAGAAAGGGTGAAAAAGCGTTACACCTGTTTCAACATGGATTCATGTTGGGTCTGGATGTAACGGATTCCATGGGCTGATGCCTTGTGCACGCTTTGTACCGCTTTGAGTTCCGCCCTCCATCATACCAGAAAAGAGAACAAAAGAGTTAACTTAGCTCTTCCATGGGGGAGGAGGTCTTCTTCAATTCACTTCATGGTTGATTTACGAAAATTAGACTTATACCGTTAGTATTATAAATCACTTTCTAAAGATTATCTTTGTAAGGAATCATTAAAATACGAGATTGTTTAATCATCAAATTATATAGAAATAGATGGACTTATTCGGTTAAACTAAAATTATATATCTATTTACTACAATTGCTTGAATAAATAATCTTAATTTTAATTATTTTTTTATAAATAAAATCTTTACATATTGGTTTATAATATAAATAATTCTTATTATAAATACAAAATTCTATAAATCGGTTACAAAAGAAACTCAGTAAGAACTCCTCTTCAATCTTAAGTAGTGAAGCTCCTCTCGTATCCAAAACATGAAAACACCATAAAACGGCATGGTTTTCAAGAATATTACAAATATATACTAATCAACTAACTTGAAATACAAGTAATCTAAGTCACATATTTTACAAGACATAGCCCAACAGAATCCTAAACGGATTTTCCTATGCTTGATACTGAATAAGGATCTTCTTTGAATTTTCTTTGTAAGAATTCCAAGAATCCTCTAATTATGTTCATTCATTGTACATCATGTGGTTATTTTAATTTTTATATTTAAAAATGAACATAAATGGCATATGACGAAAACTAACTATACAATTTATGATAAACGAACACAATTAAAAGATCATTTTGATCCACAGAAAGAGAATCCTCCTTCCTTGATACTTTCACGGCTGCCCTTTTTACAGCCCCACAATGTAGGACAGAGACACGTCACGCGTAGGGTACCTACCCCACAAACAAATAGCCATACAATGTACGAACCATCCATCCGTCCTTCAGTTCAGTGTTTCACTTTGGATCCCTCTCTCTCTCTTCTGCCACATCCCCGTTCACTGTGCAGCCCCACGCGCCTCTCCCAACTTTGTTCTTGTTTTTGTTTTTCGTGTTTTGTTTTCAGTGTTCTCGTTAGTTTTTTAAAAGTACAACATTTTACTTTTAAGGCATTATTTTTCTCTACAAATATTGTAGTTCAAACCATTATATTTTTTTTTGTTATTTCGTACTACGGTCTAATTATATTACTCTTTATTTGTAAATGAGAAGTTTTAAATTCGATTTTCATCAAAAATGAATTTAAACCACATTATTGTTAGCTTATTGTGAAGTTAAGTCCATTTCCATTTTTTCTTAATGTAGAAAATATTGTTTGTTTAAATTATTTTTTATATATTTTTTTAAAAATTATCTCTAAAAACTTTGGTTCGATTTAGAAACTGTCCGGAACAAAAAAGTTGAAATTTAATAATGGAAAACATTATTTATACTATGACTTTAGTTTATTTCACACATAAATGATTACAAAATCTGTAAACCAAATGTATATTGAAAATGATCCAAAAGATGATCTAAAAAAAAAATGCTTCAAATTATAATATTTATACAGTAAAACGATGACCATTGTCATAAAATGAGAAATGACTCGACATATATAAGAAGTCAAATATTATCTAAACTTCTCTTTGAAAATTAGATATTTTTTTTTATTTGTACAAATACTTCAGTTTAGCTATGCTTTCTATAATCAATTTTAATCTCATTTTGCTAACTCAAAAGTTGACACTTATTTTCTGAAACGCTTCATTTCTTTCTCTTTTTTTATGATAAAGATTTAATTTAATTTATCAAAAAAAAATCCCTAATAATAATTTATGAGCCCGTCAGCAAAGTGGTCAGCCGGCCGTTTGACCGCTGGTGACGCACCGACCGGGGAGTTTCAGAGTTTTGACGGTTGAATTTATAAATGCAAATCACCACCTACTCACTTGTCTTGTTTTATTTAACTCTTATTATTTCGATACGACCGAATCAATAGTGTTCCTGTCACACATGTCCCTCTCCTCACTTATAATTCTTTCTTCTTCTTAATTTTCTTACAAAATTCAAGATAATATTATCAAACAAAAAATTATTCTAATGTAACCATGTAAGTGACATAAAACAAATCTGGTAATACTTTTTTGGCTTATTAATTGTTATTTAGTTTCAGTTTGTCTATTGAAATTGATTTTGTGTTTCTGAAGCCGACATTTTTAACTCTTTTGCCACACTATTCCATTAAAGAACGGTTTAATTCAAGGATGTTTTAGACTTTTTACACATCTGTTTATCTCTGATTTACACTATAAACCAATCTTAACTCCCTTTTTGACAACTGTAATTCAAATCTCATGAGTTAGAACCTTTCAAAAAATAATAACTCAATCAACAGAAAAACCCCATGAGCATTTTTGCTCACCACAAAAAACTCTAACTCTGGTGTATGCTCACCATACATCTAATTATTTATCATGTGTTATTTCATCTAACCTTGGTTAATTTTTTTTCCAAAATTAAGAAGGTAACATTTAATGTGAAAGTAACTAGAATTAAGTTAAAAAACACGTGATAAATGACTAGATATATGCTCGTTTATAATAAGCATACACCATAATTTCTGATGGTGGGCAAAAACGATTCTAATAATAATAAGGGCAAGTTGTAATTTGCCACTGAATGTAAAGACAGAGTCGCTCCTAATCACAATCAGTGCCTCACAAGACATAATTATCAATCAAATCTTGTTTAGAAAGTAAAGTTAAAAGGGCATTAGGCCTACTTAGTGCGGTGGTCGCCGTCAGCGCCAGCCACCCTACCGCCCACGCACACATTTGATATTAGCACCCACCACTAGGTGAACCTTTTGGACTTTATAATTAGAATGAGTAATGTTATTCATACCATGTTTTGATACCATATTTTTATAGCACTTTAGGTAACATTTGATATGAATAGTCATATCATTTGAATTAATTAGATTTTTAAATTTAGTTCATTATTTAATAAACTAATAATTAGGAAAAACTAGTTAATTAAATAATGATTGTGGTATACGAAGTCTTTCTCCTTCATTTCCTTGAGTTTTGCAAATTTTTCAAATGATTTGACTGTCCACATCAGATGTCATTTAAGGTGGTATAAAAATATGGTATGAATAGCATTACTCGAATTAGACTGATGAGTTAGGTACTTAGGTGTGTGTATTGAGTAGTATTGGTTTTTTATTATTTTTTCACCAAAAACTGCTTTACTTTAAAGTTAAGTAGCAACAAAGTGTTTGGTAAAAATAAAATATACTACCTATTTTAAAAGTAATGGCTTTCAAATAGCAGTTTTTAAAAGTAGCCTATAAGTTGCTTTTAAAAGCTGCTTTAATAAAAAGTGGAGTTGAGTCTTTAGAATATTTTTAATTCATGTAATAAGCTCATTAACTTTAAACAATGACATTATTATCCTTTTAGACTCTACTTTTTATATGTACAACACTTTAAAAATATAGTTTATCAAACACTCATCTGTTTTATTTTGCAGCTAATTATTCTTAAAGCACATCATAAACAATTTATTAAAAAAACACAACAATCCAAAACTAGCTCTTAATTCATCGTCATTGTACAATGATGTTTTTAATCGATGATGTAATGCGATGTATGATATTTTTATATGTAACATTATATTAATGAATTCATATGTCACGTGATAATAAACATGCTATGTATGATTTTTTTTTTTTCCTTCTATTTAACAATATGTTATTTTTAAATTCAAATATCACATGACGGTAAATGTAAGTTGTTTCTAAGATGGAGATAGTAGCAGCAGCAGCAACCGACATCCACATGTCACGCACAGCATTGTGGCAGTGGGTGCCCCTCCTCACTTTGCATCCCATTTAATTTTATGTCTTAATACAACCAATTAGTGGTTGGCAAAAAAAAGGACAAAGATAAGAATCCAACAATGCCCTTCACAGCATATTTGGTTATGCCAAAACAAAGTACATGGCATTTTGCACTTCAATTTGAATTACACTTTCTTATAAATTAAAGTAGTTTAAGATACTGCATTGTTGCATTTTACATAAAGGCAAATGGATAACACTAAAAAACTAAGCGTGTACACCATGTGTGAGATGTTAACACTAACAACGTAGTACATGCTTTTTTTTGTTGAATACAACGATATATTTACAATAACAAGAAATTTGAATTAAGCAACAAACATGGCCAGTCATAATGATTTAGCGTTAAACTCACTATTCACGAAAGTCGAATATAAGATCTCTCAATCACAAATGAAGAAAAATACAACAATTAATAGATTGCTAAATATTAACACAAAACAAAAACAAATTCATAACATTGCATGACAGAATAACGGGACGATCATAGCTAAAAATGACCGTTGATGGCATGTTGTTGCTACTTTTGTGTGCGAAATTTCTGCACTAAAGGAGTGGAATCAAGTTGAAGAAGAAAAGGGTATTGAATTGAATAGCTTCAAACTTTCAACCACCATGTCCATCCATCTTAATAAGAAAACCAACCTTCATTAAACCCCACATTTACTTTATCCCTATCGCTACAAAGTCAACAATTCCCATTTGGGAAAACCCCCCAATAAACTAATCCGACCAAATCGGTCACCACACATACTCACAACGCGGTTACTTAATGCTCTCTGCCAAATTAATTCCGTCTAAATTTCTATGATTTTTCGGAGTATATGTTAAAGAGTTTTTCACCGATTGGGCTTTGATAAAAAATTTCAAAATATAAGATGTTTCGAAGCACCGTAACATTTTTAGAATACAGATCTCACCTAACCGCGTTTTGTTGCCAGCTAGTCAGGACTAGCATTAAGGCTAATATCCCTTCAATTCTTGAATTTTGCTAATTAACACCAGCATGTGTGCATCCCTAGATTGTTGACAAAATAAACTAGAGGCATATGAGGTAAGAGCGTGCTTAGAGGTGCCTCTGGAAAATCTAAAAGCGTTTTTCCATCGCTACAAGCGCTTCTGACTACACTTTTCCCAAAAATAAAACATAAATGTACTAGGTCATAAAGGCGCGTTTTGGAGAAGCACATCCAAATTCAATGTAATTCCATAAAAGCACTTGTAGCAGAGACACTTGTGAGCGGAACATGCACATTAACTCAAGGAATGATTGAATCATTTCAGATGCAGATTCAAGGTGAGAGAACATGATACAGAATTGAACCAATGTAGAGTGAGAAACAAGAAGAGAAAAGTAGAAATTTTTATTGTTAAATAATTGGTTTGAGAAGGAAACAACAATAACAGCATATCCACCATTCATTCACAAACCCAGTAAGCACCCACCACACATCTCAATCTTCCTCATGACTTCCATTCTTTTTTTGTATATATCATCACATATATACATGTACAGATGATCCTCTTCTACATCCAGCCACCCATCTCTCTCTCCTCTCCCTCCTCTCCCTCTCTCTCCATACCTATCCACCTCTCTCCCTCTCTCTCACCGACTTTCGTTCCTCTATCCCTCTCAAATAAAACTAAAAGCAAATTTAACGATTGTACAGAGTTTCTTTTTTTTTTTTTCTTGGAAGTGAGGATCCAGGAACCAGGCCGGGCTACATCGTAATGAAAAATGCAAAAAGTTGGAAGATATTCCAAACCAAAATGGGAGAGAAAGAGGGCATAGGAGAGAGGAGGAACAAAGTGGAGCCAGAGAGCAATGAGGAATGAATGAATAAATGAAAACTGAACAAGGAACTAAGCTACCTCTCTGGGATCCACTGGCATTGGCTGCTAATGAGATTATTTGGTGATTCCGATAATGTAACAGGTATCTGGTAATCCTTATGTGATTAGAGGAGGAACGGAACGGAAGGGGAGTTCCTAACAAACTGGGGTGCCGGGCAGCAACAGGAAAAACTCAAAAATATGGCTGAGAAGCAGAATTACAGTACAGTCCTGAGTTCTAAAAGCTATAATGCCTGACCGAGTGTTCCAACATATCGCGACTGGGGCGCACCATTTCCTTCACTCGGCTCCCATTTTTGTAAATCTTGAATGTTGGTACAATCCTCACATTTTCGCTGTTTGCAACTGCCGCGTTTTCTTCAATGTCAACCTATGATCCATGACCGTAATAAGTATAAAAAAAAATTGTTCTCTTAAAAGTACTTTAAGTAGCAATCACAGGTGCATGCAAACTTCAGTCAAACTAGCATATGATAAACATCAATCAGCAACTTTACCTTGAGGAAATTTATGGATGGGTAGCGACCACAAAGCGTGTCCAGAAAAGGTGATATTTGCTTGCATTGCAAATCAGAGGCGGCTTTGAAATGGACCACGGAGACACCTGTAAATGCAAATTTTTAGGCACTTGTGCAATGACGGAGGTGTAGAAATTATAAGGTGACAGAAGCATAGATGGGAAGGCCTACCTGGTAAAGATATCACAGCTCTGAACTGCTCAAGACCTAATATTTCTTCCACTTCACCGCCAAACTTCAAATTAGAAACTTCTTCCTCACGGGATTTTTTTAATGCAATTTGAGCATGAAACAAAGATTCAGCAACTTCATTGTCATCAGGGAGCAACCTTCTCAAGACCTCATAATCTTTTGAAGCCTCTATCCATCTTTCTAGCTGCAATACACAAAAAACTAACAGACTAAATTGCAGTCTCTTAAAAGAAAAATTTACGAACGGAAAGAAACGAAAATGAAGAGATTTAGACATGCATTTACCTTTCTGTTTGAGGCAGCCCTTCGGAGAAGGGCTTTTGTGTAATTATGTTTAATACGTAGGGCCTGGTTGCAGTCTTCAATGGATCGCTCCCACATCCCAAGTTTAAACCAACAAGCCGCTCTGTTGCAATAGAGAACAGAGTTTGAAGGATCAACCCTTAGACCTTCTCCATATGCTGCGCAAGCTTCTGTGAACCTTTCGGACTTGAAGAGATCATTGCCACGGGCACGAGCTCTCATAACCAAGCGCACATTACTTAGCAGCACTGCAGCTTCAATGTTTCGGGAATCAATCTGTCCTGCTTTCTCAGCAGCAGTAACTGCATTCTCAAACCTGCAACACATCCATCATCTATTCTCACTCTCCACAAAACCCTTAACCATAGTATTTCGGATGAAGCCTAAATTGTTTGAACTCACCTTCCAAATGCCAATTCAATTTGGGCCAAGACAAAGTTAGTGTAAGCTTCAGAAAGCATCCCAAAGAACTTAGATTGTGAAAGGTCGGAATGAGTGTCTAATCTAGGTGTATTCAATACGACTGATTCGGCGTCATCAACTTGGTGGAGCTTCAGAAGCGCTTCCGCTCTACACATATAGAGCTGTAAATTCAATTTGAACAAGTTCAGCATTTTGATTATCTTTTCACTAAATCAAATAATACAAATCCACGTATACAAAACTTTAAAAAACTCGGGAATCGATATTTACCTGAGGAGAAGAGTCAGCTCCAGAAGCAATAGTAGAATCGCATTCCCTCAATACACTTCTCCAATCTCCTACACGACGGGAATCTGTACATCTTTTTAGATGCTTCTCTACTGCCTGCAATTTCTGTAACTCAGCTGGATCTGGCTGCAGCCCGGGAAAACAAAGGTGTCTCCGGGCATTCTCGACCTGCCCTAACCTGCAATAAATAGGATTAAGTCAAGTACATTTCCTGCTACATTAAGCTGGAGAGATACATCGAAATTCAGTCCACCTACAGTTCTATAAACCAGCAAAGGCTGGATTCTAAGAATGTAAAACAACACGAACCCAGAAAGTTTGAAAGTCCACACAAAAACTCTAAGAAGGTTCCAAGAAGCTTTAGATATCGAGGAGTTAGCAAACTGCAATACAACTATTCACACTTGCCCAATTCAACCAAATACTAGATCGAATCATGAAGTAAACGCAACATACAAGAAGGTAGTAAAAGCAAACAAGAAAACACAGAAGAACCATTCAATGAATCCGAATCAAAAGGGCAAACCGCAGCAGATCCCAAGACCAAGCAAGTAGGCATTATCAACAATGTTGACCAACTAATTAACAAGATAAACTCTAACCAATTCGCTAATCACATCAGCTTCAGAAAAAAATAACTGAGCTTTACTGCTTTACATCCCAATAACTCACCTAAGAAACAAAGACCCCAAACGCTGGTGAGCTCTGCCATAACTGGGATCCAACCTCACCGCCTCCTCACATTCCCTCACCGCCTCAGTAAGCCGTCCTAGACCCGTTAATGCTGCCGCCCGGTTACTCCGGTAGGCAGCATTGGCCGGAGACAATGCAATCGCCCGATCGTACAAGCTCAAAGCCTCTGCGAAATGGCCTCTTCTGTACTGCTCATTCCCAGCTCTCTTCACCTCCTCAGGATCCACATTCACCATTGTTCTCTTCAACAAGTCTCCGCTGCCGCCGGTACCCCTCGAACTCACGGCGCTCGCCCTCAGGGAACTCGCCGCCTCACTGCCTGCCGCCTTTAGCAGCCTGACCGCCCCGCATTATGCTCCCATGACCATAATTCCCCGTACCCGAACCCAAAACGTCGGTTCTGGAGCTCCGGTTCGGGACCATACCCGTTTTTAAGAATTTCCCAGATGGGCATATGTTCCCCGTGGGCAAAACACTGGGCGGCGGAGAGCTCACGGAGCTCTGACCCGAGTATATAAGCGGGTGGGTGGAACCCGTTGTATGACCCGGTTTGAAACTGCGGGTGTTTCCAGCGGATCGGGCGCTATCTGCGGCGGTGGGACTGCTCTCGCTAGAGCCGGATAGCTCGCCGGAGTGGTTGTTGGGGGCTGAATCGGCCCTTCTGGCAACTGGGTTGGGCCCATTTCGGCCGGAAACCGATCCGGATGAGCTGGAGCTACTGCTTGTAGCAGTGGCGATGCCACCGCTCTGGCGAGTCCGAAGAGGCGAAACGGGCGAACCTAGATCGAGTTCTCGGAAATCGGGCTTGTTGGCTTCGCAACTCAGCGAGTCACGGAATCGATCGTTAAGCGAGTCTAGGCCGAGCTGCTCCGAAATGGGCTTCCCGGAATGCGACATTTCCGAAAACAACAGCAAAGCTCCTATCTTTTTTCCGATTTTCTCTCTCTCAATCTGTAAATTTCTATTCTTTCTTTCTGGGCTGTCGTCTTCCTCAGCAATGTGTGGCAGTGAAGCTGTTCCGATAAGAAGAACGATGACTGCTGGCAGATACAGACGCAGAAAACCCCAGAAGCAGCAGAAGGAGAAGAAGAGATTCTGATGAAGACATTAAGGGGTAGAGAGAGAGAGAGAGAGAGAGAGAGAGAGAGAAAGAGGGGGGAAAGAGAAGCCGAGATGGGGATCTCGTGATATGAAAGAAGGAAGCAAAGAATGAATGCGAAGTCCTCTTTTAGAAAACGAGAGGGAGGAGAGAGAAGGAGAGACAGAGAAAGGAGAGAAGTTTTTTATTGCTTGTTTTTTCTTTCTTCCCTTTTACCTGCTCCTTCACGAGACAGGCTTTTGAGGTTTCTCTCCTTTTCTCCTCTTGTTGTAATTTTATTCTATTTTTCCTTTTTCTTTTCTCAATCTATAACTCTTAAAAAATTTTTTTATCGAGCGTGGTAATGTTCATAATTCTATTTATTATTATTAAAAGAGTATAAATTTTGATATTTATGTTTGTTCATTACATAAATTTTAAAATTTAAACTCATTAAACAATGATTATTACAATGTTAGCATCACAGAATGGTAAATAAAAATATTCCCGAAAACAATCGCAAAGAATGGTGACACCTAGCATATTATTGGGGGTCCTCTTTTTCATTACCTTTACTTTCGTTTTCTCTTTTGTGAATGAATTGATTGACTTTCATATTGGTTAGGGCTAATTATGTGCTATTTATACTCGTGCATAATTTGCTTTAAGGCATGAAATTAAAAAGTGACAACGTATCCTAAGAAAGTGCCAGCTTATACACCAATTTATTTTTCTTTAAGAAATGATTTACAAAACCGAGATTTATTTAATTAACTAGCTCTTAATTTAATCGTATATCTCTGTATAATGTTGAAGGGGTGTAATAAATGACAAGTGTAATAAGCATAGAGTAAGGTGCACAAATTACATCAAGGCTTTGTCTAACTTTCATGCTAGTACATTGCATCTATTTTTTGGTTGTTGCCTTGTAGTTTTAAAATTGTAGGGCATAAATGTTTTCTAATTCACAGATTTCGAAATTTAACCTCATCCAATAGTGACACAGTGATATATAGGGCGGTGAGTATCACCATCACTTAAGTGTAGTGAGTAAAAATATTCATTTCTTATGTATGATACTCTTATGTGAACTTCTAAAAGATTTTTTTTAATTTATTTTAATTTGATTATGATAAAGAACATTATTGATAATGTCATATTCGGGATGTGATGCATAAAATGTTGTAAAATGTAATTTCACAAAATAAAGTACAACATATAAGTGAGTGATTCTATTTGTAACGTAAATTAGGTTTTTTGTGAAGAAATATTCACAAATTATGTGATGTTATGTTAATTCAAGTTGAAGACAATATTGATTTTAGACCAATTAGTATTTAGTAGTGAGCTGCTGGTTTATCTCTACTTGATTTTGATATGGTATCAAAGCAGGGTTAAACCCCAAACATGTGCTACCAAGTGGTTAAATGCAAGTTAGACTAATTAGTAGTGAGCCGATTATTTGTTTTTCTAAAATCTTAATGTGATATCAATCTATTAAAGCATGCTAATTGTTTTATACGACGGCCAACTCATTCAAATAGTTGATAGAATGTTTGATGTTGGGTCAATCAAATCCCTAAATAGTAAATATATTGGGCGAGCAAGTGATTAAGTGCAAGTTGAAAACATTATAGTGTTAGAAACTTAGAACCAATTAGTAGCAGATTATTGGTCCGTCTTTAAAAAATCTTGACACTAATGATATTAATATTCAATGTAACCATGCACATAGTTGGTTAGTTATGAATTATTATTACATATAGTAAACGTAGTCAATCATGATGTAATATTATATATGTATCAATCTCTTGTAGACGATAAAGAAAGAATAAAAAAATAATAATTAAAAATAACTTACAGGAAATAAATTTGCTGTTATTAACTTTTGTCTAATAATACATTATTATTTATAATTTCATTTTGTATGATATTATATTTTTTGATTGAAATTTATAAGACGAAAATTCGATTCATGTAAGGTGGTCCGATCAGCATGGTATTGCTACTTATCTTAGATTCTTGTACCGTCCAGATTTTTTACTTTCTTACGCAAGCCGGAGAGGCAACACAACAGAAGATTACTGACTGCTCAAAAGTCCGAAACTACCCTCCGCCACTCTCACTTATTTCACATTTTTACCCTTTAATGTTGGGCTGCCACCTGGCTGCCTATTTTTTACCCTCTTGGATAAGCCCGAGAGAAAAACACAGTTAAAATAGGGGATAACGGCGAAGCAAGGGCATTATGGAGAACAAGCGATGGATATAGGGGTGTTTAAGTAATTTTGGGAGGGTCTGGACAGAGGTAGCTGGCCATGTGCAGGAGAGAGTGGCGTGCCAGCTGGCGCATTCAGGGAAATCCTGGAGCCAAACAGTGGCGTCCAGCTAAGCAAACTAACGGTGGGGTTTGACGTCGTTTAGTACGATGCGGGAGAATATGCCTATGTCATTGCTACGGGGTTGTTTTCGGGGAGTGCGTATTCTCTGCCAGATTTTGAAAATTTTTAAATTATATTTATTTATCATACATTGTGCGGTAAAAAATTATTGTAAATTTTTTTATTTAAAATTGAATATAAACAATACGTAACAAAAACTAACCATACAATGCATAATGAACGAATATAATTAAAAAAATTTCAGAATCCTCACAAAAAAAAGTCTAACGAGATCCTCTCTCGTTTTCGAGGGAGTCGGATGGTGACAGGAGAGGAGGAGGCCATCATCCGTAGTGACGACGTTACAGAAAAGAGGGAGAATGATGACCAGGCGATCTATTTCATGCCAGGTAGGCTACATGATAACATGGCATGCATGCAATCGGTGTTCATCACAAATCCAAAGATTTTTGTATTTTTGTTTTCATAATTTTAGTGAAAATTAAAGATATTATAGATTTATCCGACTACGACGAATCGAAAAACCTTCAACGAGTTTTAGTTTTGTTTTTGATGTTGAAAGAGGTTTTAAGTTCAATTTTTATTGAATGAGTTTTAATTCTATTTTTAATGTTCAAAAAGGTTTTAATGTCAAATGAAAATAAATCTGATTCAGACATTGATAGTCAAACACGTAATGTGATATCCCACATCGTCTAGAGGAGTGATCCTTATATGTATATTCTCATTCCTACTTAGCACGAGGCCTTTTGGGAGCTCACTGGCTTCGGGTTCCATAGGAACTCCGAAGTTAAGCGAGAAGGGGGCTAGAGCAATCCCACGATGGGTGACCCACTGGGAAGTTGCTCGTGAGTTCCCAAAAACAAAACCGTGAGGGAATGGTAAGCCCAAAGCGGACAATATCGTGCTACGGTAGTGGAGCGGGCCCGGGAAGTGGTCCGCCCCGGGCCGGGATGTGACACCCACTAGGGAAGTTGCTCGTGTGAGTTCCCAAAAACAAAACCGTGAGGACGTGGTCGGGGCCCAAAGCGGACAATATCGTGCTACGGTGGTGGAGCGGGCCCGGGAAGTGGTGCTCCCCGGGCCGGGATGTGACAATTTGGTATCAGAGCCTAACCCTGGCCGCGTGTGTGCCGACAAGGACGTCGGGCCCCTAAGGGGGGTGGATTGTGACATCCCACATCGCCTAGGGGAGTGATCCTTAAATGTATATTTCCATCCCTACCTAACACGAGGCCTTTTGGGAGCTCACTGGCTTCGGGTTCCGTAGGAACTCCGAAGTTAAGCGAGTAGCGCACGAGAGCAATCCCATGATGGGTGACCCACTGGGAAGTTGCTCGTGTGAGTTCCCAAAAACAAAACCGTGAGGGCGTGGTCGGGGCCCAAAACGGACAATATCGTGCTACGGTGGTGGAGCGGGCCCGGGAAGTGGTGCGCCCCGGGCGGGGATGTGACACGTAATGTAGAAAAGGTGTCAAATTAGAAAATAACAAAAAAACTACTAATAAGTAGTCGAAGAATTCTACTTTTTCTTTGTAATCCTAACACAACCGTTTTACTAACTAATGTGTTATAATTTATATTAGAAAATTAGAATTCTTAATCTAATTTTACTTTGTAACCCTAATTTATATTAGTGATTGATTAGTAACACAACGCCAATATATTACTGTCACACTGAAAAAAATTTCAAAATTTGAATTCCCTAACTTGCCCTAAAGAGGAAGAAAAAAAATGAAGGAAAACTAGTGTGCAACAAGTGGTACGTGGCCACATGAGCAGGTAAGGTGCATGTGTGGCACCACTACGCACAAGCTCTGTTGTGAGCTGTGACCCACTAAAATGTTGAACAAGAAATTATAGTGAGAGTATTTTGCATGCAAATTGTAAAACGTCTTAAAATATATCTTAAACACACATAAAATACACTTTGCTTTGTATATAAACACATTAAAAAAAATTTATAAACAAGCCACTTAGTAATACGGTATAGTGATATTTCTCTTTACTTATAAGTGAGAGGTCTTAAATTTGATTTTCGCTAAATACAAATTTGAATCACATTATTGTCAACTCATTGTGAAACTTCATCATTTTAATATAGATAACATCGCTTATTAAAAAAATTATAAATAAAACTAAAGAAAAAGAGGAAAATATCTTTTAAATATATCAAAATGGTGTGTGACAATATTTTCCACCTCCACGGTCGTATTTTCAGATGCAATTGTCACATGCTTTTGGCAAAATATATTTTTCTTTTCCCACTCAATTAACTTCTAAATTTGACCAAACTAACAGCTCATTTTTTTTTATTTTTGTAAATCTTATATGGGAAGATACTGAGTCTTCCTATGTAAGTAGTCATTCTTCTCACAAACAAATCACAAGTTTACAAATATGAAAACTCTAATTTTGAATTTTTAATGCATAAATTTACGTATGTGACACTTGTAAACAGATTTTTAATGCATAAATTTACGTATGTAAACAAATTTAACTCGTTGTATGTAAAGAATCAAATATTGTTCCTTAGTATATAAAAACTACTTAGATCTTTGGGTTTTTTATTTTCAGAGTACAAAGCATGCGTGGGCACAATTTCAGAAGAACAAAAACAGACAACAAAAAAAAAAACTCAAATGAGTGCCAAACTAAAGGCCTTTTATTTTAGTAAAAAAATTTGCATTTAAATCTTTTCACTTTTTCAAATGATAGCAATGATATCAACTCATATGTCGGTGGAATAAAAATAAAATAGAAATTATCTTTCGGAGAGATGGCCGGGTGGTTGATAACTTCGGTCTTGAAAACTGGTATAGTTTGTGTCATTTTT